AGTGCAGAACTAAGCCCAAACAGACCTAAGGTTCACCATTTCGGGTCACTTATGAATGGTGTTAAGAAAGTTACACCTATTTGACAAAATTATTTTTGAAATAATGAAGAATTTTTATAACTTACAACTTCCAGTTACTTTTAGTTACTCTGAAGTGGAATCTTAAATTCAAAAAGATCATTGACACTGTAACCGAAAATTAAAACTATTAACTCTTTGATGTAGCTGTGTTCTCTGTGCTGGATAGTTTATTTGCGAAGCTTTCATCGTCCTACTAGGCGACATCTTCAGCCCATACTTCAATTTGAAGTGAGCTTTCAGATTTCTCCATGAGTTTGTTGGTCATCTCTCCTGGTGACCTTGAAAGTGATTGGTTGTTTTCGTGTTTTCACGCACTCTAGGATACTTCTATTGGAACTGATTGTTTCCTTGACTTTCTGTGTGAGATTTCATGCTTATCGATAGGTAAATTTTGTCTAGCAGTCAAAAGATATCACACCCACTGTCTCATATCATTGTACACAAACAACCACGGGCATCAGTTCGACTGGGACAACGTTCAAATATTAGACAGAGGAAACACCAAGAATGCTAGAGAACTTTTAGAAGCCTGGTATTCCAGTAAATCGTCAATCAATAGACACATCGACGGAGATAAAATTTACCAATCGACAAGAAGGAAATCTCACATACAAAAGGTCAAATTCCAAGTCAATCAGTTCCAATACAAGTGCCCTAGAGGGTGTGAAAACACAAAAGCAACCAACCACGTTCAAGGTCACCCACCAAAAGAGATGAATAATAAACTCGTGGAGAAATCTAAAAGCATACTTCAAACTGAAGTATTTACTGAAGATGATTCCTAGTAGGGCTATGAAAGCTTCGCAAATAGATCAGGGAACACAACTACATTAAAATTATCCACCTGAGCTACAAATCTTGTCTTTCATATCTAACTACTAACTTCTAAATCAATTAAACTTTCTCAGTTCCATTCAGAGTCGGACGCCCAACCACCGTGATAATTTGAAGGTATTTCAAGGCCTAAAAATAGCTCATAAATTTAAACTGTAACACTTAACGACAATACATAAGGCGAAGACAAACGGAATTGAGAAGATAATAAAATACAGGAAGGGCATAAACAAGGGAAAGAACAAAATAACTTAACAATAAAAAGGATTAGACATTTCTATAAGAAGAAGAAGAAGAATGAGCTTGTCAGCACATATGTTAACAGTGTCCACCAATTTTACTGAACGTCTGTAATTACTCATGACTAAAGTCTTCATGACCTTAGTTTTAGTTCTATTTGCAATCAAATCTGTCAATCTTTCTTTTCGAGGGTATGTCTTTCAGCTGTTTAAAAAATCTCGCTTCCCTTCAGTCAGGATTACTGTGTCTTGGGTGGCACTGGCTGCATGTGATTAATGCAAGTAGTAGTAAGTTTAATCTTTCTAAACATCCAAAATTATGCAGTGACTTCCTGTGTATACCTAGTTGCTTAAGGCTCAGCCAATCTGTGCTCATCCTGTCGCCTAGATAAAAAATTGTCACTCACAAAAATTCACAATGAAAGATACTAGACACATTATTAAACGAATGGAGAACGTGTTTATTTTACTGAAAATCTTTGAGAATGAGTTCTGTGGCATTAAAAAATAAATCGATTACTTGTTTCAAAATGACAGTGAGGCAACCAGTAACTAACAATAAATGGTGCTTATAGGTGATTCCATGAAGTCTGAAGACAATAGAAACACTCTGTGGATTTGGAATGCTTAAATCAAAATATCTTTCTAGAATTCTGTCATACAGTATTTATTACATGCAGTTTATTCTACTAAATAGTCAGCAAAAATTTGTACTCCTCTATGGGTTTCATAACTGCTGAGTTTTATCAACAAGGTACATCTACAATTAATAAGGAGTATGTATTCTATCCAAGAAACAAGCACACTCAGTCACTCGAACTTAGTGATGAGTTATATTCCATGAAAGTGAATGATGTATATGAATTATTCTCCAAATACCTGACTTAAACCTGGCCATTAAGTTTGCAGTATGGACACTAGGCTTAGTGACATGAGAGTGTGATGATTATGTGTTATATAAGACACAATGTTATTAAAATACAGTATCTTCGCCATTATCTGAAACCATCAGATGAGTAACTTAGAATTTAATACAACTGCAGAATAGTGGAAATGATTCATCAACGGATAAAAACCACGTAAGTTACTGTTAGAAATGTTACGGTGTTCAGTAAATTAGTTTTGCGATTAATATCATTAGTGTTCGCTCCTTGCATTCGGAGTATAAAAATTGAGCTTCAGCAAGGCATCTTCATTACACTTGGTTCATTGGTATCACTTCACATGACTCAAAGACTGTCTACAGTCTTTCATTTTGTATCCACATGATTCCCTTCATGCGACCCTCAGAACCACACCTAACCCGTCGCTCCCCATTGGAGTCCACTAGATAGCCTGGCGCGTGACCTCACTCAGTGGTCACTTCAGTGTATATCCATACTATCTTCGTTAATTTGGTTTAATTTTTTGGGCAAAATATCATTGGTTGGTTGGTAGCCAGAGTTCCTTGTTGCACACCCCTTCTTTAGCATTCATCCAGAAGATGCAGTTGTCGATGAAAGTCTGCAACAAGCTGTTGGAAATGCTTTTAGTGATATGCACGCGAACTCCCTGGAAAATTCAGCAGAAATGACTTGCAATTAGGGTTGAAAATTCTGATCTTCTTCCTTGTGCTGACTGACGTAGACCTTTACGTTCATTTCAAAATGATGAAAACCTGGCCTTAACATTCTCATTCATGTCATCTGTAATTAAAACAATACTGCCCAAGTGAGTGACAGAAGTGACCAGTTTTGGATTCCTCCAATTGCTGATTGATGCTTGCTTTTATTAGTTGGATATCATCATCACCTCTGTATGTTCTGTATGTTCACCTGAAATCCTGTATTCGCTGCTTCTTCCACCAACTTGTTAGTTTTCGCTTGTAGATTTGCGAGTTTGTGAGAAATTAGGCATACTTTATCTGGAAAATTCAAATGTTTGCAAGGATCTTTCTATTAGTTCCACATATGCCCGTCTTCACTGTTACACAATAATCTAGTCCACTGTATTCAGGAATATCATCGGTATTAGTAGGCCATTATGTCTTATTGTTCTTTCTATTGCAAAGATTTCCATGATAGATTTCACTTATTTCACGCAAATGTTTTAAACAGTTACAGTATTGACAATTTAGGCTATTAGAGATTTATCATACTACATTTTAAATTATTGACATCTGATAGCAACTTTTGTTGCACATATAAAATATATGATAGCTATCCGAAACAACCTTGTGATTACTAAAACCAATGACATACAAGACCAAGTCATTAAACGGCTTATCTATTCATTTCAGCCACCACGGGTAATACTTGACTATGATGTTAGTGATTGAAATCCAACTTCCGTGGCAACATCCCCATCGCACTAGCTGTCCAGCTACTTTTCTTCCGCGTCAGTTGTAATGATGGTGAAATAGGACGGGAGAACAGGATGTTAACCGCGTTGTAGGACTAGCTCTGACAGATTGATACAGATGTATTAGGTGATGACTGAAGGTAAAATGGAAACATGATAGGTGGCAAACTTTTAGTGAGCAACCTTTGAATTCCCGATATGGCGCTCTATCCACAAAGTTAAAGGACTCAGATGCTAATGACATTATTACTCTCTTATTGAATCTTGAACATTTTTGTTTTTGTATAGAAAAAATCCCTATTTAGACATTTAGAAAACGGTAAGATTAAGCAGAATAAATTAATTTTACAAGGATAACATGTAATTAAAGATGAAATGGTCAGAAAAAATAATTTGGAGAATTATAATTTTTATAATTTTAAAGGTTTAGGGGGATTGTGGACGAAGTAGTCCGATTTATACATTTGTGTAACGATGGCCAAGGCAAGGAAAGTAGCTGTACAAATTTCTTCTGAACACACAGGTTTGGCTTCTTCAGGTAAATTCCTATTGCTTCAGTTGCATGTAGAAGACGAACTCGTGAAGCAAAATTAAGATTAGTAGGAATGCGATAGATAATTTTAAATGCTGTATTAACATCAACCTTATGCTCACTATCTTCAAGGTGTGCTAAAATACAGCTACAGATAGATTTTGTTTGTCCCTTGCTTAAACATGTTGCATGATGTTTGGAAATAAGATGATGAACCTGTCTAATCGTACGCCCAATGTAGCTGGCTCCGCAGCTTCAGTCCAACTGGTAGATACACATAGAGGAGGCAAATTTAGGTAGTTTATCCTTATTTCTCGAACGTAGAATAGGTGTGGTTGTGAAGAGACAACGTACCTCTGCTGCATAATAAGCTCTTTTAACTGCATTCTTCAGGCTCTGTGCTATTATTTCGCTGATGTTGTCACCGAGGAACTGCAGTTTTATGAACATGGGTTTTTTCGGAACTGTTGCCATACTGACTCTCTTTGGTGCTGAATTCATATTTTTCTCAAATAACTTGTCTGGATAACCATTTTTTCTAAGTAATTTTTAATGACCTTAAGCTCCTCATTGATAGTTTGAACAGATTAACCTGGCTCTATGAATCAGATACTTTACCAGGTTACGTTTATATTTCAAAGGTACAAAACTCAAACAAATCAGTGTACTGACCTGTTGTTGTAGGTTTCCTATACACACTCCTCCTAAGTGTGTCATCTTCATTGCCATGAAGACGTCTATGAATGAGATACAGTCATTACTTTCTTTCTCTATGGTAAAGCTTATTGGTGAATGTGCATCATTAGACTTGTCAAGGATGTTCATTACATCATTCTTGTTTTTCATAACCAGAAATGTATCATCCAGATATGACAGCAGAAATCCAAGTCATTAATTACTCCTTTTTGTTTTAAACTATGAATTGCTCAAAATGACGTATTTTTTTATTTTCCAACTTTTTTAATCCTTCATAGATGCAAATCCTACTAGACGCAAAGTACAAAAGAATAATAATAATAATACAGTGCCTCAATCTCATCAAGCCAATAAAATTCCACAAATCTTGACCAGAGCGAATCGCTTTTCTACAATGAATTTAACTGCATCACTATTTCGAGGTGCTTCAAAGGAAAGGGCTAAAAAGAGACTCACATAATAATAATAACAATAATTAACAATAACTGAATTCAGTGAAATTTGTATTTTTACCCATTTTTTTTTAAAAAAAACCACCTAAATTTTCCATTTTCTCCTTTATGGTAAGGAAAAGCGACTATTATCAACTTGTTTTGTTCTCTTTGTTTTTTGTTTTTTTTTATTCCTCAGTGACAGACTTTTTAAGAAGATGAAAACTGCAGCAGAAGATGAAAATAAGCATCCTTTGAATAGACAGAAATTCTTTATTGAATAACAATATTCAAAACAGAAAACACGCAGCATGAAACCTAACAGTGTCATATGCTAATTCAGGAAAAACTTCATGAAACCGATGAAAAAGAGAGAAGATGCAATATTGTGCATGGCATATTTACCTTGGAAAAATATTTGGTTTTTGTATCATCAATAAAAACAAACAAAGCAAATCTCTGTGTGAATATTTTGATAAATCATCATTATTATTATTTATACTATTATACTTCTGTTTCTTTCAAAAGTGTATAAGAATAAAGAAAGGAAAATAATACTTTCCTAAAGTTTATCACAGCGTCGGTGGTATAGCGGTTAGGACGCTCGCCGACCATGCACATGGTCCGGGGTTCGATCCCCGGCCGACGCACACCTTTACCTCTCTAAGCTAGAAATAATTCTGGTAAAGAGCAAAGGTTGGGCATGAGGCTAACAACCCCATCCTGTAAAATAAACTCTGCTACAGAAACTTCAAGCTACTAGCTTGTAGCCCTATGTTCCACTGGGGAACGTGAAGGAAATATTATTATTTATTATTAAAGTTTATCACTTGGCGTATTATTATCCACGATTTTAATGTGACCACTAATTGTTTACTATATTTACTGTTTGCACACGAGAAGACATACAAAAACTATTGACTTGTAAAGAAAGCAGTTTAATTATTATCGCTAACATGCATCTGCAAACTATTCTAGAATAATTACTCTGGAATCAGGGTTCAATAATGAAGTGAGCATGCTACTCGACTGAAGACCGAATTCAGTGATCCTCCTTCGAATACTTTCCGATTCGCATGCTGAGCCACCACTTTCCTCGTTAAGTAATGTTGATTGACATAGGATCAGGTTGGAAAAGCGCTAGGAGTCATCAAACCAAGGCTTGCATTAATCCATAAAGTCTTTGACTAATATTTTGAGCAGGCCACCTAGAGAGATATAGACTGCCTGACTGGAGTCTTCAAGGTGATAGAAACGGCTCAAAAGTGCACTCACTGTTGCATTTACATTCACTTTGTGTAATCTCCTTGGTCGATTAAGTTCTATTGTTCTTCCATGGAAATGTTCTTCCTTCTTCGCATTTCTCCTCACTGCAGTTCTTTTGGATTTCTCTGATTTTATCCAAATTTGAGTGCTCTATGAGTTAAGACAACGTGAACGGATGCACTTGTGTGCTAAATTCTACTTTGAAAAACAGTTGGTCATCAGATAGGGTACCAAAGATTGTCCAATCAGATTATGTAAATTTCTCTCTCTGCCTCTGTTTGTCCCTTCGCTTTAAGTTTGAAAAGGTAGTTTCCGTCAGATTTCACCAAAGATATTCTGACACTGATTAAAAATTAAATTCAAACTGATTAACTGATAACTAATTAGACTGTCACGTTGGCTAAGGATTTTAGATGGGTTTTAGGCATATTTCACTCTCATTTTGCTGGTCGGCAAGGACAAGTTCAGAGTTCCTAGAACATCCATACCTCACTAACTAAGTTATAAAAATATTATCTGCATAACTTTTATTCCTCATGTACAAATTTGTTTACTATTCATTGTGGTTACTTCTACCAATGCTAGAAATCACAGCATTCATGATGAGAAAGTGATCAGACTCAAGTTCTTTAAACGTTTTAAGGAAGGCCGACAATTGTGACGATTTAGGGCAAAATATATGGACCCACCAGTCTTAATAACGATCTCTGAAACTCACCTCTTTTTAACTAAGTATTCAACAAGTGAACGTTATTGTAAGATCATCTAGAGAAGCAAAATATCAGACGATAAATGTGTTTTAAACATATTGAACTGACAAAATGTTTATACATTAAAGAAACTCGCGCCTACAAATTTAAAATGAGCCTGTAGTGCACATTGTACCTTTGAACTTTTGTTTAAACTCGCTCACCCATGGTGATACACTTTTTGTCTTTTGAGTTGTGACTCTTCTGTACGTTCATTGGTTCGCTCTCTTGTTGTGCTCTCTTTCTGCACACTCTCCGAGCCTACCTCCAGCAACATCTGCAGATAAGTTGTACGACTTCTTTATTTATTGAATTTCATATATCGTTGAATAAAATATAATTCTCCCAGATACTCTTATCATAGCAAATCTTTTTACTTCGATACAGTTCGTCAGTGTTTGCACGTTGAGTAGCGTACAGCTAAGGTCGTAAAGCGGTGAAGAAGTTTGTAAATGTGTTTAGAGTAGAGGTCTACTCTAAGCTGTAAGAGTTCTTACAAGCCTATGAAATCACATTAACCATGGGCTTTTTATATAATCCATTTTGATCTACAAATGAAGACTCTTACTTTTTGAATTTGTCATTTAGTTCTCAAAAGGGAATCCGTTCCAGGAAACACATTCTTGTCACTTTCATTTCACAACAAAATTACTGGGCCGGATAGAGGTAATTCGTCACACAGTGACTTCGAAGAGAAATTTATCCTAACGCAGACACTTCAATACGGTTTTAGTCCAACATGTTGCATTAAGCAGGAGGGTGGTGACTATTCTAAAGTACCTACTAGATTCAGAACGACTTCTAACCCCTTCGGATCAGAACCTTAGTTCTGTACAGTCTGTACATGTATATAAATTGCACAACATTTCATGTTAGGTTATCTGGATCAAACAGACACGACTGCAAATATATTCCAATATCAAATACTGGTTTTACGAGGTAGTATAAACCAATTTGATTTCTTTGTGCTCACCTCTTGATTGTGACGTATAGGTTCCTGATCTTCTGTAAACTTCTGCGTAGCTCGTCCCGCCACTCGACTGTCGCAGCTTTGGTTGCCTCCAAAAGGAGCAGCGCTTGGATTGATTACATGTGGTTTGTAGTATGAGGTGTGTTAAGACTGTTATCAATGTGAATGGAGTTGATCCTTCTACCAGCTCATCCCACATTATTGTCCTCGAAAGAAAAGACATAATAATAATGGATATAATAAGTAAAGTTATTCAGACAAACAGACAGAAAAAGAAACAAGAAAACGTAACAACAGTCAGCTGACTAAATTTGAAGAATAATATGAATAATATATACCGGTAATAGTGATAATAATAATAATGATGAGTGTAGTTGAAGTTATCAGGAGAGTAAGAAGGGAGAGAATTTAAAGAAGTAAAACGACGAGTTTAATTGTCTACCCCTTAATGGTGTATGCGATTTTAAGGGGCAGCTCAGACGGCGTGGTAGATCATTGATAAAAATCAAAGACATCAGTGGCCCTAGGATAGAACCCTGCGACACTCCTGATGACGAGCTGTACCAAGATGATCGGACTCGACTGACCTTAGTGCGAAATCGCCTTTCACCTAGGTACTGCCTTAACCATGACAAAAGTGGCCTACCTTTACCTGCCTGGCTTATTTTATGTAGGAAAAGGTCGTGGTGAACAATGTCAAATGCCTTCCCAAAGGCTAGGAAGACCACATGGACTGGAACATTCATATCCCAGCATGATGTCCAATCGTCCCGAGCTGATAGTAGGTTAGTAACGCAGGATCTACCATTCCTGAAACTGTGTTGGGCTTCGTGCAGTATATTAGACCTATCGAGGTATCCCCTGATGTGATCGTCAATAATACTTTCCAGTACATTTGTGTGGTGATTGAGTATTTCTATCTCTGTATTGTTCAAATACTTACTGTTGATTGTTAATATATTTCTTATATGAATTGCATAATAATTCCGCTAGATGCAAATTCCCGAATTCCGCTCCCTCTGTGTTTTGGTTGGATTCTTGTAATTCGGTCATCTCGAAATACCAATACTACGATTACAGATAATTACTACAAATTGGCGTCGCGATGGAACTAAATAACCTCGGAAAATTTCCTATAAATGGTTCTCCGCCGGAAATTGCTGATTACATTGAATGCTTCGATGCGTGGTGCATTTCAAAGAATGTTCGGGATGACAAAATACCAGCACATTTCATCACTCCTATTGGGCTAGAAGCGTATAGCCTAGTAAAGACTTTGTCATTTCCAAATAAACCAATTTCTCTGTCAATTCAGTAAACTGGTTCGTGTTCCCAATCAGAAGATAAGAGACTTTACCCTTCAACTTCAAATACAAGTGTCAATCACGTCTCATAAACCGTTAATGCCCAGCTCTCGCTACGCTCGGACCCACGCTGTTCCTTGAAGATTTCAGAAACGCTTAGTTATAACGGACGAAAAAACCAAAACACCGATCTGCCGCTTGAGATTTGTTTATTGTTACACCAACATATAAAAAGAATAAGTGAACTAAGGTCTGTGAACAAATATTACAATAATAAATCATTGTATTACTTCTGACGATGTTTCACTCTTCTTTCTGAACAGCGACCGATGAGACGATGACTGTCGTATTGATGCCTCCGCGAAAATTGGGGAAGTTGATTTTGAGCAAACAACCAAGAATTGATCGTTCAATCTTCAACTCCATTGACACTCTCCGGCAAAAAAGGGATCCAACCCTTTTTTCCTTCACGACCAATACACGTTGACTTGGATGCCATTGCGAGAACCTGGGTCACACGGACAGAGCTGAAATGGAAAACAAACAGAAAAGCCAACACACCACAAGCATACCCACAGCACAATCTCACACATCGCTGACGACCTGCGCCTCCAGACAGAGACCTCCTCTTGACATCTTGCAACACAATCGCCACTTGCTAGAATGACTCTTGCAGAATGCAACGTGACCATAGCACCAACT